CCTCTCATTTCTCCAGCCCAGAAAAATCTCTTGACACTGGGAGGGTAGCTCCACTCTCCTCACCATTTCTAGCCCTATGCCCAGGATTCTTCCTTTAAAGTTCAAAAGCTGGAAAAGCTGTGCATTCTCTTCTCCATCCTGTCATGTGCCACCCCTGAGTCAATAAGCACACAACCAGCTATCTGCTTGAACAGACAGGAGAAAAATGGAAAAGTCCAGGGAGAAAGAAAACAGATTAGGATCCAAAATACTATCCCTGCCACATAAGCACTCTAAGCTGTGGAAACCTGATGGTAGTCTTAGAAGTAGGATAACCCAAAAATTAAGAGAGGGAAATGAAATTTTGTACCCCCTCCCCAGGATATTTTAAAAATTAGAAAACCTAGGCAAACTTAGATACAAGTGTCATTAATATATATATATATATATATATATATATATTTACATGGGCTGTACTCCTCCAAAATTATTTCTAAAATCTCTGAAAAGTAAAACTGCCTCCATTTACATATAAAAATAACCATAATAAAAATTACACTGACATTTAGAGTGCTTTCTTATAAAATTTTTTTCAGCTTCTTATGCATATAATTTCACATAACTCTCAAAACAGCCCTGGTAGGCAGATATTTCTAATTTATAGAGGAGGTTGGTAAGTCTCATAGAGGTTATGCGACTTGTTCAAATTCATAGAGTAGTGCAGACTAAAATCAGGTTTTCTGATTCCAAACCCTATGTTGCCTTCAAGCTGTTTACACTGAGGACAAGAATTATTAAAATGCAAAAAAATAAGTTGAATTTTTTTTTTTTTTTTGCGGTACGCGGGCCTCTCACTGTTGTGGCCTCTCCCGTTGCGGAGCACAGGCTCCGGACATGCAGGCTCAGTGGCCATGGCTCACGGGCCCAGCCGCTCTGCGACATGTGGGATCTTCCTGGACCGGGGCACGAACCCATGTCCCCTGCATCGGCAGGCGGACTCTCAACCACTGCGCCACCAGGGAAGCCCTAAGTTGAATTTTTGCCTTGAGAAAACACTACCTTATTTTTTAGAAAAAGAATAAAAGGCCTCAGCACCTTCTTTGCTTGTGGCTTCCTCTCACAGACTTGAGCATTTCAGTGTTATTTGTAAGACTAGGCGCTGGAGCAGGTGTCGAAAGGTGACTGACTCAGTCTGCTATAAGACAATCACAGTAAAGCCAAGAAGACAGACACTGAGACAAATTAGTCTCTTTGTGTTGCATTACTGGTGCAAACTAACTGCTGTGGGAGAACAGTCAAGGGAGTAGCTAGCTCTACCTTCTATGATGTTAGAAGAGGGATAAGCATTGAGTAAAGCTTCACATCTCACAAGAGGCTGAATCTAGCATTGAAAGAAGGGTAAGATTTTGCCATGAAGAGCAGGCCAGGCATAGAGCAGCTTGAGCAAAGCATGATAGAGTCAAGGTGAGTGTTTTCTCAGGAGTCCAGGATATCTGGATATCAGGGGAGAGGTAAGGGAGTGGTAGGAAGTCAGCCTGGTCAGATAACTAGTTGCTAGCCTGTGATGCTAACACATCTGGCCTTTATTCCTTAACATCTCGGTACAAGTCGAGGTCTTATTTATCTTTGTATGATTAGCACCCAACACAATATTGTAAAATACAGCTAGCTCCTCCTGCATGTTGGATTTATCCTGTGCTTAAGCAAGTGAGGGTGTGTCAGGATCAGACTTGAGTTTTAGGAAGATCACTCTGGCTATGGTAAAGGTGAAAGGTAGTGTGGTGTGGACAAAATGGAGGGAGATGACTGCAGAGTGATGGGAGGCTTTGAAATGTGGGAACGAAAAAAGACACAGTTGAAAAAAACACTGTCGGAGCACTCAAGAGGACTCGGTAGGTGAGTTTAAGTGAGGAAGCGGTGTAAGAGAGAACCCCAAAGTTTTAACTGTGGTAATGTCATTGCCTAAGATAGGCAATCCAGGAATAGACTTTAATGCTGGTGTTGGTGAATGTACTCCAATCCTTCTGAAAATGCCTCAAAGAACTTGAAGTAAATAGTCATTGATGATAACAGTTACACATTCACAAGAAAATTAGGAGGAAAAAATAATCATCAATGCCCTGCCTGGCTAAAAGGCTCTGGACAGGCAATTAAGAACACATCTAATTTGGTGTCTTAGAAGCTGGAAACTTGTTATGTATGATACTATAATCTGGAGATCCTCATATGCATTGAATAGTTTGTTCTGCTACAGGTTGATAATTAAGTCTCTAAATAACCTTCCATTATCAAAAGTTACATTATAGAAAGAATAGGAAAACTAGAGTTAGGAACATTTAAAGTAATGCTAATGTTTTCTCCCCACACCCCTCCCCCACCCACAAAGAAAATCTATAATATCTATAATATGAAATATACTGGACCCATATATAGAATATTATATAGTTTACAGGGAAATATTTTTAAATTGAATATAGGAAAAGACCTACCATGATCCTGGATAGGAAAATCAATTTATTCTTCCTCACCTAATCTACGGGTTTAATGAAATTCTAATAAAAACATCCCATCAGATATTTTTGAAACTTTGCAAAATCATTCTAACATTCATCTGAAAGAAGCCAAGAATGTTCTGAAAAAACTGTAATACTGAAAAGACATTTATCTGATCTACCATATATTAAAATATACCATAAAACCTACAATTATTAAAACATTCTTAGGCATTAGTCAGGAGATCTTAGTAAAGAGATCAGGAATTAGTAAGGATATCTATGGAACAGAAGAGATTTTTTACAAATATTTATATATAAGAATTTATTACATGGAAAAGAATTTAGTATGTGAAAAACTGAAGCATGTTTTTAATAGTGCTATGTGATTTGTAGCTATTTGGGAAAACAGTAAAGTCAGATCCTTACCTAAAGTCTTATTTTGTAAAAGAAATCAAAATAGTAAAATATACTTTCATTTCATTTTAATATTTTTAAAAATTTGTCAATCACTATTTAATAAGTTTAGACCAATGATATTATTATCTTAACTTTAGTAGCATATTTAAGCAATAGAAAAGTTGTTTTAGCTAACTTTATGGGAAAAAATTATTAAATATATGTTCATATGAAAACTGCTGTAAACTACATTCTTCCTTTTTCCCTCTTGGCAAAATGATGAGAACAACTTCAAACATATGGAAGCATTTCTACACTTATTCTGATGAGGAAGAATCTAATTCAGGAATAATGTCAAACAAAATATGCATTTCCAAA